GGGATTTAAAAAGAAAAAAAAATTTTTTTTTCCTTTTTTTTTTTTTTTTTTTTTTTTTTTTAAATATAAATTAGTGTATTCGGCTATCGATGGCGTTACACGTTCAATTATCAACGATTGCAGCTTGTTCGATCCATGGTAGGTATTATTGAATTAAGTCAATTCAGATTTTTTAATTATCGACGCACCGATCCCACGCGAATGCAATTATTAATTATGTTGCATTGACGATTATCTGCAGGATGCACAATAGCATATAGGGTCTCGCTAGGTAATATAGATATAGGTATGGGTGTGCTTTGATGGATAAACTTGGAAGTTCGATTTAAAAAAAAAAAAAATTTTTACAAAGACCTTTGAATTGGACTGAGATTTATTATTTTGTTTGTTCGCTTTTTTTTTTTTTTTTTTCATTTACTATCACTGTTACAGTATACTTGCGATTAGCTTTTACAAATATTTCCCATTGCATGTATCAGCTGGCATTGATAAAGAGAAAATTATCGGCAGTTATACGAGGCTCTAGGGAGCCAAGTATAATTGCCATTGTAATCTGACCCTTGGAATGCATTGACCTAACCTCCGTTAAAGTTCACTATGGCTGATTTTCGCTGGAACTAATAGATACCAAAAAATTATTATCCCATTCGAAAATGGTAAGATGGACTTAAATAATACGAACCTTTGGAAGGCCAGTAATATGAAGTATTTTGACGTATCGATAAGAGCGATAAAAATATTTTGTATCTTCTTGTCCTTTGTTAATGTAAAATTTCACACTTGACAGTCTGAAGTACAGTGACCCGGCAGTGGTTTTTTACTGAGAAGAAGCTGGTAATGTAATTTTCAAGAATAACAAAAAAATGATTTAATCCTAAAACAGTCGTGATTTTGGTTCTCCATTTAAAAAGCACTCAGTTTTAATATCTCGGACGTCCCACGTGCCTTTACTACCGTATTAGTTTATCCGATATGAGGTTTAGAAAATTTTGTAAATTTTTTTTTTATGAATATTTTTCACTTCTAAACAGATATCCTTTGTTTTTTGGTAAGTCCGATTTGAATTTTTCAACAAGGCAGTCGACTATCGGGACCCCCGCAAAGTATTATCTTATCGACCTGACCTCAAGCGAGTGCAGTGTCTCATATAATCGTAGAAAACAAGGAACAAACATTGACGAAATGATAAGTCCAAGAATTGCGAGATATCGTTGCTTAAAAATATATATAAAAAAAAAAATATATATTTTTCATAAAAACACGTGACACGCGAATCCATTGGTATTTCGATATATCCCAAGAATAAATTCCGGCATAGACAGTGAATATGAAAATACAAAAAAAAAAAAATCGAGATCTACGTACAAGAAAAATTCTGATAAAATTGATAAGGTCTTATCAAAACCACAATCCCATCCCGTCCTTTCAATACGATTTTCAAATCAGTCTGTAATTACCAAATATTCGAATCCCCTTCAGTCGACGATATAAAAAATAAAAAAAATTTACCAAACTGATTTTTATCCTAAAGCCTGTCCTACAGTCTCCCAACTGTTCAGATGATCTTCACCCGGAACACAGCATCCCCACGTGACAAGATATGGGTGGGTGGAGAATCGCGGTGTAGCTCTGAGTATTATTAAATTTTTCCTTGCTGTTTCAAATAATATTTCTCTTTTTTTTTTCACCGTCGG